CCAGCCTAAAGTTGCATATAGCTTTGGAAAGGAAATTATTTTAAAACATAAAACAGCTGGAGGTGTGAGAAAGGAGCACAGATTTGGATCCAAGTGTGTTATGTCTGGCTTTTAAGGGCCGGTTTAAAAAAAAAAAATCTTCACTGCTGATGATCTAAATCATTTATTAGACATTTAGATGATACTATAATAAAAAATGTTTGACATATTGTTGCTGAGGGGAAATAAATGGGTGGGGCTGTGATTTCTTTGTATGAAGGTTATGGCTTTCAATTATCGTACACTTTTATAGTCTGAAAATGAACAAATTAAAATACAAAATATTTTAGATTGTACAACTAATATGTACTCATGGATAGAGAGCTGTCCTGGATTGTCCTCCTCGGGTGTGATAAACGTGTTCCTGCGTCTCATTCTGCCTGTCTGTCCTCGCCCTTCAGAGGTCATATATCTGGCGCTTCCATTTCTATGACCTTTTCATGCCTGTTATGAACCACAATCACTTATACTCCACCGCCTCTATCTAAAAGGGCAGAGTGGTAATGGCACCCTGTTAAAATCTAGAAATGAGATTTTCATGGAAGACGGAAGGCTTTTCTGATAGTTGGACATCAAGAGTCCTGCCAGAAGGCCTTTTTATGTCTGTGATACCTCCTCAGTCCTTAGTGGCTCAGCATTACCCCTAATAGCAGGCCACATGTTTGTTATTAAATGTGTTTATCCTCTGGAGTTTTTGTAAACTGAATATGAACTTCAGCGTATGGTTTAGATTACTCCAACTATGCCTCCTGTTGTTTTGCAGTGAAGTTGTGGAGCATATTAGGCGTCATTTTTGCCATTTAAAATATTTACCTGATCTAAGCATTTCGTATAAGTACAGGTAAAGGCATTTGATTCATGAATAATTGCTTGTGACTAATCATCCAAAAATTAACACAGAATTTTAGGACATACTTTGTCCACTATTTGAATATTTTTTTTTATCATGACCAAAAACTTGGGTTTATTAATTGTGATAAGCCAAAGTTAGTCTTAGCTTGAGGAATTATTTTCATCTCATTTAATCATAATATAAATGCAGCTCTTCGTTGAAGGCCTGATGGATGCTAGATTTAGTAGGAATTAGTGAACAAGCAGCATTAAGACCAATATAAACGGCAGAGTGTTGCTTGGTTATTTTCTGGATAAGCTGCAGAAATCCACAGTCCTGGATTTTAATTTCATTTATTTTATACCATTGTTTGTGTATTCTATAATTCCAGTTTCAATGACTGTGTGGCATTAAAAGTCCTTTTTTGAAGGAAAGCTGTTTAAAATAGTTGCTCAGGATTGATGAGACCCATTTTAGAGCCTATTTGGCCCACATGCAAAAGTAATGAGTGGTGTGGAAAGCATAACACAAGATTTCCATTTTGAAACATGGCGGCAGCTGCATCATGCTATGCAGACAGAGGGTCACAGAGGCTAATTAGGTTATGAACTAAAATGTACAGCCATAGGTTAGGTGGGATGCTTCAGATCAAAGCATATCCATGTGTTAGGATGGCCCAGTCAAGATCCATGCCTAAATTGAACTGAAACTGTGCTTTGATACTTTTATTGTTAAAAAAGATCCGCATTAGCTGTCACCAAAGTGGGACGAGCTAGTCTCCCTGGGGTCCACAAGACAAAAAAAAAAAAATCACTTAATCACACATTATAGACATTAATTATAGATCTCATCAGAAATCATTTAGAATAAGTTATTGCATTCATATCTATTACATTAATTATCACTTTCAAACAATAAATATCTTAATTCACTACTCAAAAATTTTAATAGTGCATTCTCAAGTAATAATTGAAAGATACTTCACTATTCAGTTCACGTATATTCAGTGAGCAATTATTCCAAAAACTGATGGCTCGATAAATAACTGCTCTCTTTAAGGCATTTGATTTTGGACATGGCAACATTATCTGACCAACATTAGCATACCTTGTCTCATAAGAATGAACCTGATCACATCTGACAATTTGGTTATATGAGAAAACAGGTTGGAAAGAAAAGAAAGTTTTGTTATATTGTAAGCCAGTCTTTACTCTACCATTAATCAGGAATGTTGATGGTGCATACTGATGGTGTTTGTTCTTATGGAACCATGTAAAACCAACCTTGCAGCTCTGTTCTGAGCAGTTTGTAATTTCCCTAGTTGACCCTTAAATGCAGAGGACCATACAGGTGCACAATAATCCAGGTGACATAAAATAACTGATTTAGCCACCTGCTCCACAATATTTGTAGGGACATAAGAAAGACATTTCCTCACCTTTGAGATGGCACAACCCATCTTCCTCACTATGGTATCAATGTGTTCTGCCCATGACAGCTGATTATCGATTATTATGCCCAATAATTTTACTTTATCTACCTGTTCTAAAGGTTCCCCAGATAAGTTCAAACTCATCTTTGGTGTAGATGACAGTTTATCACTTGATCCCAAAATTATTGATTTGGTCGTAGAGATATTCAGAACCATCTTATTTTTGTTTTATCCAATTAAAAACCAAATTTAACTCAGCTGACAAATCATTGTCCAGTTCAGACATTTTTTGAAGCATACTGTAATACAGTGTGGAATCATCAGTATACATTTGTACAGTCGCTTTACACAAAAGAAATGGTAAATTATTTGTGAAGATGCCATATAAGAGTGGTCCCAGAAAGCTTCCTTGCAGGATCCCACAATCCAAGACCCTAGAGTGAGACCAACTGCCAGAGTAATATACCCGTTAGAATTATATGCCTCTATTTTGTTTCTTTTAGCTATTTTGCATCGAGGAACAGCGAAACATTCAGTTTCTACAAGTAAAGTTCGCTGGGGTCTACCCTATCTGCGGTAGTTGCAAAGTATTGACTCCAGGGGGTCTAAATACAAGGAAGCACCCCCCTTTTTAAAAATCTTAACAAAACACAAAAGATTTTGAGCAATGCTTTTACTTTACTTTCATTTCACGAATTTTTTCTACTTTTTCTTAGCACAAAAATCAAAATAAAATCCATATATATTTGTGGTTACAATGCTGAGAGGTTCAAGGAGAAAAATGTATGCAGGTGAACTACAGAGTTTCTACCAACCCAACAGTGTGAAATCAGTTTCCTACATTACGATCCCCTTAAAGTTAAAATGTTTTTGCTGGTTGGCTAAAGATTTTAGGGCCTCAACTCTGTTTATGCATTGTCTTTACCAGTTTGCAGCCAAATAAGTTATTCTCTTTGCATTTCAGCTTGGATATCCATAGATGGCACTGTGCATCAAGCTGCAGGAGTTTGAAATTATCTACAGCCCGATTCTCAGAAATTCTTTGAGATTGGAGTGACAGGTTATCAAAACGGGTAATGGAGGAAGACTGTCTTGGCCCATCTCTGCTGTATCTTTTGATTGGGGTTACTCATTCAGTCATCTGATAACCAGTCTGTAGGAGGAGGTTTGGATTGGGTTAGATGGGGTCAAAGCTAGAGCAGCAAACGGGGCCAGTTGTATCTTTTTGGATTTATGGATACATTTAAGCCCCCACCTCTTGTTTTTAGGTTATTTTCTGACTCTTTATTTTTTCCATTCTTACTTTTTGCAGAGGAAATGCTTCACTTTAAGTAGAGAACTTAAAAGATCATAAAAGGCAGCTAGTTACCAGGGTGATGGTTTGTTTTATGGCTTAATATTTAGACTCATCTTCCTCTTGGATCTCACTGTATAAACAATAAGTGACCTTTAGGAAGGATCGGTGGATCTTTTCCACCACTTCACCGTGTGATCTTACTTTTAGTCTCTCTGCTGCTGCAGTGCTGTTAAAAGTATTCACGCCCTTACATATTTCCTCTGTTTTTCCTTATTAAACCTCAATGCTCTGAAATATCCATATATTTTAATGTCACACGAAAATAACCTTAATAAATTAAAGCAGCAATTTTGAAAGGATTATTTTATTTATAAAATGGAGAAAACTATCCAAACTAACTCGGTCCAAAATTCCAGAAACACGGTTTGTACCAGATGGTTTAAAAAGAAGCGTAAAAATTGTAACTGCATTTACTGGAAAAGAAAAAAAAAGTAATCTAAACTCTTCAAACTCATTTGAAACCTCCTTTAATATGTGAAATCCTGATTCAGAAACTGCACTTTGCTTTACCTTGTGTTTACTTTTGTCTTATGTTAACATTTGTTTGTTCCAGAAGATTTTTGTTTGACCAGAAAAGAAAAAACTAAATTAATCTTTCAGGGTACGAGTCTATAAAGTTAAAAAAAAAAACAGTAACCACTCATTTTACAATCGTTTGTATATAGAACTGTCTTGAAAAAGTCACACTAAGTGCTGTGTATGCGACCGATTCTTCTTTTTTCAAATGCTTTCCTATTGCAAGACCGCTATAAACAAAAGCGTGTTCCTCAGAGGATATTGCAAATGTCCTAGATACATCATCTTTCTCACATCAGCACACCTGGGCCCTAGTCCCTCTATGTGATGTAACAGTTATAGCAGAAATGGGACATTTTTTGAAACACTACCTGCAAAGATACACAAACACACATGAAACCTTTTCATACCATAATACCTTTGAATGTTCATGTGCTTCTGAGCTCGTTTTGAGTCCACTAAGAGGCTAATTGTTGTGGTTTCCTGCTTTAGTTTACATTCCCACAGCCAGCTTGAAGTGTTTAACTGGAAGTCTCCTGCCATGCAGAGTTTTCAGGGTTGTCGGACAAACCAGGGCTGCTATCAATGTGGGTAGTTTTCTGTATGTGTGTGTGTGTGTGTGTGTAGGAAAGAGTTTTATATGAACTACAGAGTGGTGCATAGACTATCCAACTAAGACACCGCTGCGTCTCATCCCAGTCCCATCTGGAACATATTAATCCTCTGAGAACATGCTCCTTCTCCTTTAGTCTCTACTCTTTTGCAAGTGTCTCTGCCGGATGGTCTCTCTCATTGTCACTCTTGTCTTCTGTTGGTGCCGGCAGGTCCGATCAGGAAACCTAAATATGTAGAGAGCCCTCGCTTACCTTCTGATGCCATCATGTCAGCGTTCAGACAGGTGGATAATAACAAGGATTCCTCCCGCAATGGTGAGTTTTTATTTTTATTATTTATTTCTTTTCTACATATAACTAGATAGATGTTGGTCTAGAATCTAAATTTTCTCATAGACTGCCCTTTTCAATTTGTGTTGCAATTTTGGCCTTAAAGTGTCTTCCGGGAAGAGCTGATGCAAAAAATGTATGCATTTCATCCTTTTTCTCCGTCATGTAGTCTTTTCTGCAAACATATAATAGTGCCATGTTTAGCCTCAGCAGAGTGTTTATATTACAAAGGAGTCAGTTGTCCACTGTGTATGAATGCACTGTTTTTATCACGAGAATCCAATGAGATGCCGCGTAATCTCCAAGAAACTTCACATAGTTGCGTTCTCGTGTTTCTAAATATCTGCGAGGTGTGCCTCCAGCGTTAATGCAGCTTATTTTTTCCTCTCTGCGTTGGGAGTTGTGCTTGTGTGTCCATGGGTAATGTTCTCCGAAGTAGTCCTGTTTTGATTTCCAACAAAGAAAAGCTGGCTCAGATTCCTCCCACAAGGCTTAAGTGGAAGATGTAGAACACGTTATCTTTAGCAAAAAGCATTACCGGAAGGCTGCCCTTTGACTGTACATGCAGACCACAGCCACCCACTGCACCCCAGTCGCTGTGGGCTGAGACATTCTGAAGCACGAGGGTGTGCCTGACATTCGGCTGGAACACAACTCAAAGAAAGCTACCAGTCAACAGTGGAAACCTGATAAAAGTTATCTCATGACAGCTGGTGGACTGATACTGCTTGTCTGCTAGTTTTAAAAGAGGAAAAGTAATTAAAAAAAAACTTAAGTAATTCTATTGTTAAGTTTAAAAAGGTTTCATTATATATAGTAAAGTAAAAAAAGGAAAAGTAAAAAAAAAATAAAGTTTTGTGAATTTTTTTCTATAAAATCTGGAAACTGATACAAAACATTTGTATAATTTTCAGCTTTATTTTCACCCAAAAAGCAAAAATTATCTATAATGCAGATTATCTACATGCTACCACATTACTTGCCTTGCAAAAATAATACCTTTTTTAAAGAAAACTAATCTGAAATGCACAACCTATTTGAACCCTTTTTTACTCTGAAACACCAAAATAAATAGCAATTTTCAGCCGGACACCATTACTTGACACCATTAGTCAACTAATGGAGCCCTGATTTGAATTATTTGATCTACCAGTAAGTATAAATCCAGCTTGTCCGTTGCGACCTCAGAGGTTTGTTAAATAATATTTGGTAATAAATAACATCATGAAAACGATGAACAGAGCGGACAGGTTAGTCAGTTTTGGAGAAGTTTAAAGGAGGTTTATGCCAGAAAACAATATCCCAATGTTACAGAGCCTTGACTGTCAGTCCAAACCTTCAGGTCATGCAAGATTAGCATTAATCAAAGATGTAGCCATGGTAACTCTGGAGGAGCTGCAGAGATTTACTACTCTGATGGGACACTATTGTGAAATATGTTTTTTTTTGTAGCAGCTTGCTTTGGGATGCTTTGCTGCAGCAAGGAGAGGGAAGTTGGTAAAAACTGATTGGAAGATTGGTTGAGCTAACTAAATAGCAATCCTGCAAGAAAAAACTGTTTTTGCCTGCAAAAAGGCTTAAGCAGAACAGTGGAGTGGATCACAACTTGTCCTGTAACCTCCCTCGAAAGCCCAAGCTGCTGCTGCCTAATAAGGACACAAAACATTCTCAGACACCATTCTCATCATGGTAGACATCTGTTTTTAAACACTTGTCTTTAGACCAACGGACTCAAAAACAGATTTTATGCTCAGGCCATAATTGCACTCATAGTTGAGCAGTTTTCTTCACTTTTTGAAGAAACTGCTCACTAGTCCTAATAATGCATAATATACAATAATGGATGATTACTAAATTTTCTACCTAAATAAAACCATATCTATAAACTATTTGTTACCCGTCTATAAATGGAGACTTATTATAAATCAGTACAAACTGCACTATAAGATCAGATATTCTGTTAAACTTGCATCACAAAATATATAGTCAAACGCTAATGGTTGCTATAATACAATGTTTTAGATCAAAGCATATTTATGCATTAAATTTGGGCCAAATAAAATAGTCAAATAAAAAGCCCATCTAACATGTTGGCTGGACATTGAATGGGAACAGGTGGCTACAGACAGTGAAACACCCAGAGCAAGTTTCAGTGTTGACACAGCTGACTGTAATTTTCCTGATATTGTAAATCAGGTTTGAATAAGGCTTTCATTTTCAGATCTTTAGTATTTGTTTAAGGTGACATGTTATTGAGCTTAATGATAGTTTTCTTACTGTTCGTGGTCTAAGAGTAGTAAATTAAAGCCAGAGTGAGACTATGGAACATCAGATTGGATATTTTAGTGCACCTGCAATGGGAGTTGATATTCCTATTCATGCAATAGTCTTGATTTCATGTTTTCAAGTTATAGATGGCATTTCCCATATAAGTCAGTAAGTATATGTTGCACCCCACTGTGCTGTCCTGTATACCACGGGACAGAATCCTAATCAGTCTGGTGGAATGTCACACAGCTTTACCTTGTTAGGTCAATCATTTACCCTCCAACCAGTATATACCTTGCATGTTTATCTTAACCAAAACACTTTCAGATAACCCTCTAAGGATTTTTTTCCACTTTCAATGCAACACGGTAATCCTAATATTATTATAATAACTGAAAAAATACTTAGTCAGCACATGCTATACAGAGAAAATCCAAGTGATTCAAAAGTTATGTACATAGTCTTCACATAAGAAATGAACAATTTGGGTTCTTTTTTCTGTAGTGATTTATGTTCTCACTATCATAACTTCACATTTGCTTCATAAAATTTATTCAATTTCAACACTTTTCAACTTAACCAAAACAAAACAATTTTCAATAACCAAACTTCATACATTTTGTAAAAAAAAAAATGCTTTTTTTTAATTTCCACACAATTTCCACTCATGCATACACTGCATCTCCTTCCATTAGCTAACGTATTGATACAGCTTCAGATCTTCCCTGCATTTTTTCCGCCTCCTGCAGATATCCTTATTTTATCCATATATCCACATGTTCATGTATATATCCATATTTGATATCCAGATACCCATATTTGTCCCTCCCCCAAAAAACATGAATATGAATCTGGTATTTTTCTTTGCTGCCCCTTTGTTCCACCTTTGATTCTGATGGGGTGAATAATTTTAGATTTTGAACATATTTAAATGGATAAAACCCAGATTTATTATAGTCTATCGGCTTTAAATATTAGGTTATGATGTAATCATAAGTAACTCAGAGCCTCTGCTATCAGCAGGGTAGGGCTGTGTAATACAATTTGGCAGATTTGTTTGAAGTAAGGCAGATAGTTTGATATAGATTTATTAAGAAGATTATTTGAATACGTTTGTGTAATGGGATGTTTGAGATTAATGCTGTAGAGAAACAAAAGGCTTTTAAGAAGCACAATGGAATAGAGGGATCAGTCCTGCTAACTAAACGAGCTAGACTTAAACGTTCTGAACATCAAGGATTAGAAAATGAAAAGATTTTTTTCTTTTACTGCTTATTTCTATTCCTGCTAATTTAATATATCCTTGTTACACTCTCAAAACAAATACTACTAATATATGAGATTATTTTTTAATTTGCAAAAAAGACTATTTAAAATTTGGCATAGAACCAATTAAAATTTGTATTCATTATTTTGTAGTTTTTATAAGATCTACCTGCAACTGGAGAAAAAAAAAATCACCTGCATCAAATCAGTTTCAAAAGGGTTGTGTTTACATTGTTGGTTAGCAAGAATAATTTTCCTCATTCTAATTAGATGTAAATGATGATGCAATCTGTCTCTTTGTACAACCTGCAGGGTGTGAGCCTGATTTTTTTCTCTAATTTGTACATCTTCTCAAATATTGACTTAGCTTTCAAAGAACATGAAGAGAGATCCAGCCTTGTTTAAGGTCAGGTAACTTCTCATTTGTGCCTTTTTATTAGAGCTGTGTACAGATATTCAATAAATGCAACAGAAAAGACAATGTATCAGCCAGGAGAAATGTTCCTTGTCTTTATTCAGAGCAGCAGATGGCAGGTAAGAAGACCTTAGTCAGGAAAAAGCAGTGGTAAATGAGCCAGATTACTTAAGTAATTAGGTGAAATTAAAGACTTTATGGATTGTAACCAAGGATTGGTGATCATGAGAGCCCAGCTGCGCACAGCTGACAAACCCTAGACGTGAATTTAGTTAATTCCCTCCCCCCCGACAAATAAAAGAAAAAAGGATTAAGTATATCATTAACACTTTCTGATGCCCGTATAATTGCTTTGTATGTTTTTTTCTTTTTCTCATCACGTCTTCAGAAGATATACTATAATAGATAAAGCTTAGAAAACTGAGTATTTCTATGTTAACCTTTGCAAACACATTTGTACATGTTGGAAATTCCTTCATTCTTCCTCATGAAGTCATCACTTTTTCCTTTTTTTCAACAGTTTTTACCTTCACTAAGCATACCAAGAATTACCTCGGCATGCTTAGTGATGGCCAGTTTCTTTTCTTTAACTCTTTCAGATTTGTCAAACTCTGATACTCTTCATTCTGCTTAATCCGGATGATCTCTTTTTGGTCATTATTAAAAATAATGCTATCACTTCCTAACATTGAGATGCCATCAGTTTCTCTTCCTTGCACCTCAAAAAGACATGGAGCCTTAAACATGGGATGCACCAGACCATAGCTTGCAGAAGGTTAGCACAGATTAATAGGTGGGGTCAGACTGTGTGTGTAGTCCCAATGTGTTTCCTTTTATTGTCTGTCTGTGACTTCAGAATTTTTTTCCTGTGAGGTAAAGGTAAACTTTTCAGCACATTGGAGATTAAATGTTCATCTTCATGACTGTTATCTCATTCTCTTTTATTGGCATAAAGAAGGCTTGCTAGTCATTTCTTTTTTGGATTCCTTCAGTATTGGTCTACAATGTAAAAATAAAAGTAAACCATCTCTATGAA